CAATGTTATAATTGCAAGGAGTTTGGTCATGCTAAGAGAAATTGTTTTAAAAAGACTAGGGAGCAAGCCAATTTTCATGAAGAAAAAGAAACTAGTGAAGAACATGAGAACCTGTTTGTAGCATGTCTTAAAGCCCATGTTGAAATGAATGAAGAAATTTGATATTTAGATAGTAGGTGTAGTAATCACCTGATTGGAAACAAAAGTTATTTTGAGGGAATTGATGAATCTGTGAAACCATTAGTGAAAATGGGCAATAATAGTGGACTTCAGGGCTTCGGAACTATTGAAGTGGCAACCATGATTGGAAGACAGGTTATTAATGATGTCATGTATGTGCCTGGTTTGGTCCAGAATTTATTGAGTTTGGGTCAACCATTAAAGAATGGTTACTATGCTGTTTTTGACAATGAGGAATGTGTGCTTTATGATAAGAAAAGCAAGAATCTAGTTGTGAGCATCAAAATGACAGCAAATAAGATGTTCCCTATTGTGTTCTCAAACCTTTCATGCAATGCATTTTGTACATCTAGTGAAGAGTCCATATTGTGGCATAGGCGGTATGGTCATTTGCATTTTGGTGATTTGCATTTGTTGCATAAATTGGATATGGCAGCTGGTTTTCCATTAGTGAAAAATGATGCCAATGAGTGTGAAGCTTGTGCCTTGGCAAACACCATAGGGAAAAATTCCCAAAGGGAAAATCTTGGAGAGCAGATAAACCATTGTTGCTTGTGCATGCGGACATATGTGGTCCTATGCGAATGTTGTCCTTCAGTGGAAACAAATACTTTATTTTGTTTGTTGATGATTGCACTAGAATGACATGGCTTTACTCCATGAAAGAAAAGTAAGAGGCTCTCTCAATTTTCAAACAATTTAAATTAATTTGTTGAAAATCAATCTAGTTGCACTATTGTTACATTACGTACTAACCGTGGTAGTGAGTTCACTTCCAATGAGTTCAGAATGTTTTGCAGTAGCATGGGCATTCATAGACAACTGACAGCAAGTTACACTCCACAGCAAAATGGTGTTGCAGAGAGTAAGAATCAGACTATTGTTGAAGCAGCAAGGAGCATGTTGAAGGATAAAGGGATGCCAAATTGCTATTGGGCTGGAGCAGTTTTGACAGCGGTATATTTGATTAAATCGCTTTCCCACGAGCTGTTAGAAGAAAGACTCCATATGAAGCTTGAAGCAGGAGAAAACCCAATGTAAGTTGTTTAAAGATTTTTGGGTGTATAGCCTATGCATTTGTACCATTTGAACAAAGACAAAAGTTAGATGATAAAAGTACAAAATGCATTTTCTTAGGCTATAGTGAGGAGACAGAAAGGCTATCGACTTTATGATCCTATTGCCAAAAAATTGATTATAAGTCGAGATGTAATATTTAATGAAAATGAAGCTTGGAGATGAGATGAAGATGAAGTTATCCCATGTGAACAACCTGCCCCTGTGATTCCTTCAATAAGTTCTAGTGATCTACCTAATTCTTCTTACGATTCTACTCCTAGAAAAGTGAAAAGTCTTGCTGATATGTATGATTCATGTGAATTCGCTTGCTTTGCCATGGAGCCTACTTATTTTAAAGAAGCAGTAACAAAGAAGGAATGGTGTGATGCAATGAATGAAGAAACGAAGGCAATAGAGAAGAACCAGACATGGAGCATGGTAGAACTACCTCCCGATAAAGAAGCTATTGGACTTAAATGGATTTACATGTCCAAGTTTAATTCTGATGGAGCTCTCCAAATGCACAAGGCTCGGTTAGTTGCAAAGGGATATGCACAACAGCCAGGTATTGATTTCCTTAACATTTGCACTAGTTTCTCGAATTCATACTATTAGAACTATCTTGGCTTTGGTGGCTCAAAGAAGTTGGCAAGTTTTGCAACTAGATATCCAGTATGCGTTTTTTAATGGAGATCTTGAGGAGGAAGTATATGTTAAACAGCCCGAAGGTTTCGTGATTAAAGGGATGGAACATAAAGTATACAAACTGAAGAAGGCACTTTATGGGCTCAAGCAAGCACCAAGAGCATGGTATAGCAAGATTGAAAGGTTTTTTTTTGGGAAATTGTTTTCATAGAAGTGTTAATGAACCTACTCTTATGTGAAAACTCAAGGCCATCATGGTATCTTGATTGTATGCATATATGTTGATGATATGATATATACTGGGAATTCTTTTGACTTGATGAGATGGTTTAAAGAGAGTATGATGCAAAACCTTGAAATGACTGACTTGGGTCTTTTGCACTATTTTCTTGGCATAGAAGTAATTCAAAACTCAAGTGGCATTTTCATATGTCAAAAGAAATATGCCATGGACCTAATGAAAAAGTTTGGCATGGAAAATTGTACTCCCACAAAGACACCTATGAATGTAAACGAGAAGTTGCTTTTGGCAGATGAAGATGAGTTGGCAGATGAGAGGACTTTCAAAAGCATGGTTAGAGCTTTGATATTGTGGGTAAGTGAGGTTAGAGGCGATCAGTCGTTGACCTTTACAAAGATGGCGAGCATTTCAATGGCCTGAGATCACTAGAGGTGGAAGAGAAAACCAAGGCAAGCTTAGAGAGAAACGAGGTGGCAGTGAAAGACCTTGAACACGTTGTATATATTCTTGTTATGATTCTTGTTGCTCTTGTTTGGGGCCCCCACTTATGATGCTGGTATATAGACTCCAAGAGTGTTGGAGCCCAAGCAACCTCAAGATAGGTGGCAAGTTCTTGACTTGATAGGAGGTTGATATCAGCCCTACTAATTGTGTCCTATAATTCAGGTCCTTGGAAAGGTTGCTTCATAGGAGCTACAAGTGTAGGTATGATATTTTGAGAGGCGTATCATATATGCAACAGGTGTAAGTGTAAGGTCAACGTCCTTTTCTCTAAGCCAAGTCAAGGTAGAACTGTCATTGCAGGGAGACAGTTACATGACCTTAACGATCCCAAAGTCTTAGCCTCCAATCCACAATCCTCTAATGATCCCAAGGGGGATTGCCTAGGTCCTGCTCCTAACCTAGGCAGCCAAGGGGAGTGCATGGATGAGCCAAGACTCACCTTGAATAGCTAAGTGAACATAAATAAGCAAAGGGTCCAACTTTGTTGTTATAGAGCATGGGTGAGTGGGTAGAGAATATATTTCTTATGAGTCATGAAGGACCATAGAGAGCTCTAGGTGAGCCAGCTCTACCGAGGTGAGTTGTGGTCATGTTTTGTACTTGGTGGTGTGCATGCCCCCCTTACGCTAGACATGCAACCCCAACTTATCATGATGCCTCAGGGGTCTACCACGTGGATGTGTGATGGCGATGACGTGAAGCCCGTACAGCTTGCCAAGTGCCAAGCACGAAATAGATACCCATAGATATATCTTACTCATTCTAGACTTGATATTATGTTTGTTGTGAGTATTGTTTCCAATTTCATGCATCATCCAAGCAAGCATCTTTTTGGAGCAACAAAGAAGATTTTAAGATACATTCAAGGTACTCTCAATTTTTCCAAAGTCACTAACTTTAAACTGATTTCTTTCACTGACAGTGATTGGGAAGATTGTATAGATGACAGGAAAAGTGCTACAGACTACGTCTTTAACCTTGGCTCTAGTGTTATATCATGGGCATCAAAGAGGCAGACTACTACAGCTCTTTCCAGCACTAAAGCAGAGTATATTGCTTCCATTGCTACAGTCTGCCATGCAATTTGGCTGCGAAGGGTCCTCTGTGATTTAAAGGAGAAACAAAGTAATCCAACATGTTTGTTTTGTGACAACAAGTCTACTATTGCTATGACAAAGAATCCTGTGCATCAAGGAAAGGCTAAGCATATAAAATACGCCATCACTTCATTAGAGAAATTGTTACCAAAGAAGTGCAGATAAAACATTGCAACACCGAAGATCAAATGGCAGATGTGTTCACAAAAGCTTTGTCAGAGGAAAAATTCAAGGTGGTATGATGGGTGCCCAACCAAGTTTGAATTAAGGGGGCATGTTGAGAATCTAATTCAAACAAGTCCAGATTTATTTCAGTGAGTCCATTTCACGTTTGAGTTCAAGTTAGTGGTCTTTGACTTATTCAAAGTAGTGGTATGTAGTTTCGGATTATGTATGGATTGTGCCAAGTGGTGTCATAGTTTTTAGGATAGTCGGATTAGTGGATAGTGTTTGTTATTTTTTAAGGGTCTGTTGCCATTAGCAGATAGTGGACTTAGTGGATAGTTCTCTATTTAAAGAGCATTGAAGAGTCCAAGTTTGTGTGGAAAAAGAAATAAAAAATTCAGTGTTTTTTTCTTCAATCTCTGTGTCTAGCATATATTACTTTTGTTTAAGAAAACTACAATAAGAACAAATAAATCAATGTAAAACTATAAAAGCAAATAAAATAAGTTCACAAAAATTCTATCTCCATGGTTCATATTAGTTTGTACTGCAAAAAAAACAATACTCTCGCCAACCCAAGATACCATACAAGACTAACAAAGAAATCACTAATGGACCATAATATAAACAAAGTTAAACCAAGAATACAGAACATCTCTTTGAGGCTCATATGAAGAATGAATAGAACTATAAGAAACTAAAGAAATGTTTTGATAACTACATAAAAATCACAAATGTAACGGAAGCCAAATGGCATTTAATCATTATATAGGGGGCGGGGGGACCTTTAAACTCTAGCTAACAATCAAGTCAAAAGAGGTCAAATTTGGGAAAACAGGGGTAGCATATTAACAGTATTGATGTACTTGCTGGTGGTGATATGAACTACACAGAAACGGAATACTAGAAAGAGGCAAAAATGCAATTCTTCTTCCACATATAGAGCAAGTGTACCATAAAGGAAAGGAGGAAAAAAGCAACATGCTGTGTGATCCTTTTGACAAAATGCAATAAAGAGAAAATGTATTCATTGTCTCCAGCAGAATTTTGTTCCAAATAATGATGCTAATCGATCATAACATATGTTAGTAAAAAAGAGTAAAGCATACCTGTAACACCACCTCCTTTCACAGTACAACTGATGTCCCAAAGACCCAAAGTCTTCGTCTCAGAAAAAGGCCGAAGAAGAGCAGCACGATGATCAAGCATTGGGAAATAGACATCAAACTCTTTGTCATTAACTACAAATTTACCATCACCGGGTTGGATCCAAACACGGGCCACACTGCATTTCCTTCTTCCAGTTCCATAAGCCCTTCCCTTTTCATCTACTTGTCTCACCCGTGCATTGGCAACTTCTTCCTGTTTCTGGCGCTCTATTTCAGCTCTTGTAGATTTTCGTGTATTTTTCAGATAACGAATGTCTTCTATTTCTTTTAGTGGAGGCAATCCTTGAACACCATCCAGATCCTTCAGAGCAATCAAACTATCTAGCATTGCGTCTGTGATACCAGATGCTGCAACTAGGTCACCGAATGCTCGATTTGGACCTAAAATTAAAAATATTGGATCGATAGTCTTTAGTCAGACATTGTACAGATGACATGATGAGCGAAACTTAAAAACCTTATAAAAACCTTCCGTCACGTAATTTTCCAGCCCAGTATGGCTTTTACAATTTTAGAAAAATAAAATAAAATCTAAAGCAAGGGAAAACTGTCAGGTTCAATGTCACAAGGATGTATTTGAAATAATTTGCCTTATGTAGTCTCCAAGAAGGAAGCAGGAATACTATTTTCAGATTGTCTATAGACTTAGCTAAGATAAAGAAAATACAAATTCAAGACTGCATTTATATTTATGCAGCTTTGAATTCATTAGTGGAAACTAGCAATTGAAAAAGAAGCATGCCACAGATAAAAATAAAAATAACATAAAAACTCAAACAATATTTGTCGTACATGATGCTAACGCCAAATCACTAATCATTCAAAAGAGTGGCTCCATTCTAAGCCTGTGTTTATATGAAATGCATATACAAATGTAGTTAGATACAGTGTTAATGAGCCTAATTCATCATTTGAAAGATATTTCTTTATATGAATCTAATGGTGTGCAATTCACCATTGCCGCTTTGCATAAAAGTCCTGGTCTAGTGAATAATGAATTTTGAATGCAAAGAAGGTTGGTTTTCCTTGTAAAACAAACTTAAATGAAATCTGCACTCAAAGAATAAAAATATTGATAAATAAGATACATCGCTATCCTGAAAACATGTGTATATTGATGGATATATAGGAAAATAATGATATTGTTTCAAATAAATTATAAATAAATTACAGAAGTACAGTGGATACGAGATATTGATATCCTGAAAACAGGGGATATACTGACAAACATATCACAATTCACAAATATGTGGATAATTTATTCTATGACTACATTACCAAGCTTGAGAGGCAACTAGAGCACAAGCCAAACTTTGAAGCAGAATTTGTGGCCCTTGAAGGTTATGGAACCAGAAGAACTCAAAATCAACATATTTATATCCATTAGCTTATTCAAATATCATGAAAAGTTTAGCTATGGGTGTCGGACACACATCTCACATCTTACCCTTGTCATATCTAGTGGACACGGGGTACTTTGAGACAATTAGAAGAGTCCACAATGCTAATTCCACAATCAAACCACAATTATGATATTGAAACACATTATTTTCCCCAAAAAAAAATCACAAAAAATATATTTTTTAAAAAAAAGAAAAGAAATTCATAAATTGGAGACAATAAAATTGGAACAATAGCTGCATACCAATTGAACAATAAAAATGAGAATTCTACAATTAAGCATAATAAGAAAAAAGGGAAATTCTATGGCAAACACCACCTCTAGGGTGTGTACGCACCTTTAGTTACGATCTTTGTGTTCTTGGTTATGGACTATTGTGTTGTTAGTTATGACACATTATTTTGGTTACAATTACGATCCAAGAGTTGTTTAGTGATGTATGGTTATAACTCAATTTTTATTTTTATTTTTTTAAATTACGACTTATACTATGATCAAACTCACAAATGGCACCCAAGAAAAAACATATATATTCTCAGATGTTTGACAACAAATTAATAACTGCAGCAATTAATTAAGGTATTTCTAGTTTATACAAGATACAATAGTTAATATAGAAGTGTGAATATATATCAGATATGGTTAGAATAGAAAGATGAAGAACTGAAGGTTACCTTTGAGTACAAGAGAGAGCATTTTCTCTTCCTCCTCAAGCTTTTTAACTTGTTCACTCTTGTCAATCTCCACTCTCTCATCAGAATCACCATCACCAACACGCATTTCTGATAGTTCAGCTCCTATATCGAACACATCGACCTCGCTTTTCTCTTCTTCCGCCAAAGTCCAGGGCTTGTAATCATCATCAGCTGTCGCCCAATCTTCTTCACCAATCTTAACCTCTTTATCAATGCCCTTGAAAATATCTTCCTCTGTATCAACCCCATCTGCCGAAGCTCTCAACCACGGCTCATTCTCTGGTTTTGAATCGCTGCCTTCGAGAGTTCCGAAGACGGAGTCCACAGACTGATCATTCTCCCTCGAAATCTTCCACAAATCGGTTGTTGAGGTTGGCTGATCATTACTGTTCCTCTTATTATTGTTTCCACCATTGTTGTTATCATTGCTCGAGAAGCATCGGGCGATGAAGAAGGAGAAATTGGAGCTAGGGTTTGGAATTGGAGAGAGCAAAGTATGGAGATGGTGGTGATGTTTGGGGTTTGAGATGTGATTTGGGGAAGATATTAGGGTTAGGAGACGACACTGCGAGGATCTGGTAATGAAGCGGGTGAGCATTGTACACACAGAGACAGAGAGACAGAGAAGACAGAGAGAGCACGGTGAAGGTTTTGTGCCAGCTGAGAGGGTTTAGCAAGAATTGTTTTTTTTTTTTGAAAAAAAAATAAAAATTGATTGTTGGTCGAACGCCCAATCCTAAATGATACTGTTTAATAATTTTTTTTTCAGTTTTTAATTTATATTTATAAAAAATTTAAAAATTATCATAAAAATTTGTTTATAACTTTTTTTAGTTTATAAATGATTGTCTTAATTTGTAAATTTGAAGAAAAACTGTAAACTTCAAAAATGATTAAAATTTTGACTAATAAATTTTTTTTTCAATTATAATATGTATGATTCTATTTTCATAAATAATAAAAAATAAATATAAATATTTTAAGCCTGAACAAATATATTTTTTAATTTATGTTTTAAAATTTTTTTAAACATTTTGTTCAAACCAAATGTGTTTGTAGTTTGTGTTTTTCTAAAAATAAATAAAAATCAATTTATAAAATTTTTATAAATATAAACCAAAAATGTAAATATTACCAAACGATAATCAATAGGGCACAAAACTTATAATGGTCCTGTTTGGTAGAGTTGTGAGAAAGAGATTATAACTTATAAAGCTTATAGCTGTGAACATAAGCTGATTTTTGACTTATAAATTAAGCTTCTCCTCCCTCGCTCAAAGAATAAGTTGATTTTTGACTTACAAAAAACTATAAGTTGTATTGTTAAGCTGAATCAAACACATTAAAATAGCTTAAATTAAGTTAAAAGCTGAAATAAACTAGAAATAAGCCCTACGAAATAGGGTCAATATTGGCCAATAAAAACTCCTTCAAATATTGACCTGATACACAAATTCTTTTTGTTTATTTTTTTTTTATAATTAATCTGTATTATTATTAAGTGAAGTCCAATTTTAATTACCACCTGTAAATTAGATAATAATAAATAAATAAAATCCTACCCCTATCCGATCTGCAGTTTCTCAAAAATGTTAGAGATCTCAAAAGTTGTATTAAATTTTTTACTAAATGTCTGGGATCCATATGGGACACACATGGTGTAAGTCTCACACCTATATGAGACATTTGGTAAAAATTTTGATAGAACTTTCAAGATCTCGCAGTTTATTTACTTAGAGCATCTCCAACGGTTCATCAAATATTTCATCAAATTTGAGTTGAATCTTCAACTCACTCCAATTAGCAGGTGCAAATCTATACGATACCATAGAAACCGATGCTATGCCAGACTCTAAATCAGTAAAGAATTCGATCTCTCAGTGAGGTGGTAAACTAGTAAGATCCTTGAGAAAGACATCCGGGTATTTGCAAATTACCCTCGACAACTCCACTCGGACTTCATCACACTCACTACTCAAGAAGTTAGCAAGAAGGTAACTAAATTCACTCCGCCCACGCGGATCATATACCGCCGATAAGACTCTATCCACCTAGTCCCCCCAAGAAATAAAAGCAATCACCGCACAAGGTACATACAGTAACCCTCTGACGGTAGTAATTTATAACAGTCCGGTATGACGATAACCAGTTCATACCTAAAATAACATCAAAACTAGATATATCAAGCAATAAAAATGCAAAAGATAATCGGCGACCGACAACCTCGATGTCACAACCCCGACACCTCTGCTTCAAAATAACCTCACCACCGATAGGTGACTCTACATAGATAGAAGATACTAACTAAGCCAACTCTAACCCCAAAACCGATGCAAATGCAGACGAGATAAAAGAATGGGATGCACCCATATCAATCAATGCATTAGCAATTGAATTGCAAAACAATAAGGTACTCTCACTATAAAAGGAGCAGGTACAAGATCTGGCGCCGCAACAGCATATGTATGCCCAGTAGGTCTCTGCTCAACCTGCTTACCTTTCGGAGCATAAGCCTGATGCACTGACTGAGCCGAAGAGGCTCCCTAATTGACCCTCGAGGCCTATATTGACTGTGCATGCTGGTGACTCTATGGCTGCCTTGAACCAGACGCACCGGGTGTGCCACCCAACTTTAGGCAAAATCTCTTCAAATGCCCTGCCTTCCCATATTGATAACATGCGAGCGACTGCCCTATCACCTGACTCTAGCCCTGTGAACAAACCGAGGACGAAACAGATAGTTGCCCTCTTTCTCTCTGCGGTTAAGCTGGAGACTTGTGGCCCAACTAACCCGTAACAACCCTCACCACTGTTTACCGACTAAAACACTGAACTGACTGATTGAATATGTTAGTTAAATTGAATTTCTATCTGTTTGACTGTTTGGTTATCTGTTCACGTCTTATGCTTTAAACTGTGAATTGAAGGCTTTATCGGCGGCTGAATCTGAAATCGATTAATGTTTTATGATCATTAGGATTTATGTGATTTTATGGTGTATTTATCTGAAATGTGATTTGGTACGATTAAATTAGATTAATTATTGATAAATTGCAAGTTGGCCTTATTCACAATTTTGCCACTTAAGTGGCCTATCATCTAAACATTTGAGCCTTACACACACTTGATCACATAACACATTTCATCAGCCTATTTCCTTGTTCTAGCCGACTAGAGTGAGAGAGTGAGAGGAATTGAGTTGTTCATCTTGAGTTCGTGAGAATTGGCTTAGAAACTTGGTAGATTTAAGGAATCCATTGCTAAATTGAGCTGCTAGTCTTGTAATTCAAGACCTAAGGTAGAGTAATTACCCTCTTATTTATGAATTGAGCTTGATCTTGCATGTTTCATGTCAAATTAGTGAATTAAGTCTAGAACTAGCTCAAGTTGTTGAATTAAGGGCTTAATCCATGCATGCATGTTGCCATTCTTGAGTTTTGAAGTTAATGTTCTTGGAATCTCACATGCATGTTCATGTTTATGCTAAAGTTTCGGAAATCATCATGTTTTTGAAAAGAATTGGCTCATTAGAGCAAGCGTTGGAAGCTTTGAATTGGTTAAATTCATGCATGTTTGCATGTTCTTCATATTCATGAAATTTGGTTTCAAATTGGGTTCAAATGATCTTCCTTTGGGGCTTTGATTTTACATTTGAGCTTAGAATCATGTTGAACTATGAGTTTTGGAATGTTTTCTGGAAAATTGGCCCAAAAAGGTTTGGATTTGATGCATCAAAGTTGAATTTGAGCTTGAGGTTCAAATCTGGGAATTCCAGATTTTGAACTCACACTCGAGCGGGGTGACTGGCGCTCGAGCGTGAAATTCGTGCTCCCAGTACTTTGCACTGTTTTGAGGTCCGCTCGAGCGGAAGAATTGACGCTCGAGCGGGACCTTGTGTCTTACGCTCGAGCGGGTGTCGAGCGCCCAATCGAGCGTGAATTTCACCTATCCAGCACTTTTGACTGTTTTGCAGTATGCTCGACCGCTTCTTAAACTCCAGACAATGGCGTTCCTCAGTTGCTACAAGCTCGGGTGCAAACCTCGACAAGCTAGTGAATGTGGCCTCAAACTCGACCACTGGTGTGTTCAACTACACTAACTTAGAGAACTGATCTCTTAACTTCTCTCTAACAATGGGAGGCAAAAACTTGTCTTGAAATGTGTTGATGAATACCTCCCAAGTCACCCCAATACGCCCACGTACATACTTCTACCATTAACCCGCATCCCTCTTTAGCTGGAAAGACGCCAAGGTCACCCTCAACTGGTCATCCTCGATGCCAAGCATCTCAAACATCTTCATTATCTACTCTAACCACTCATCTGCCTTTAGTGGCTCATTGGGATCGCCCAAAAACTCATCCGGATTTGACCGAAAGAACTCTCTCTTTAGAAAAGATGGCCCTGCCTTAACGACCTGGGCCTGAATTTGATTCTCAGCCCTAAGAATGTCCATGGATTCCCGCAATACTCCAGCCATTTCACGGGCTAAGGTGCCCATGGCCTACTGACCCATTAGTTTGGCCACATTGGCCTGACCAACCCCTTCTTCCTGTGCCGAAATATCATCCGGTAGAGGCATCTCGTGCCTTCTAGGCCTACCACGCCTACCACCATCACGTCCATATCCTGGCATCTTAATAGAGGTAACAAAAGAGATTAGCACATTTACCATTGTGCCGAGGGTAACTTACTCGCGTCCTAATGCGATGGATAATTGTAAATCACTCAATATAAGCACGCAATCACATAAACACATACGAATTTCCTTCTTAGATAATAACTGTCCCGCGACGTTGTTAGAGTTCTAATTAGAAACTGCAGTGATCAAGTGCTCTTCTAATAGGACTTCTAGAAACCCATAGACCCAATCAATGTCTTAGGAACTAAATCCCATACCCATATAATCATTTAAGCAGGTTATCATATAAGCATACAATGTATACTAACGTCTCAGTTAAGCGAGACAAAACCTATTGTGGTAATAACCACTTCTCACGTACCCAAAGTATTCAAACCTGGTATGCTTTGATACCAAGTTGTAACGCCCCAAAAAATACTACAATAAATTCAACCCATAAACGGAAAAATAATAGAACTAATATACTTTCATTCATTAAAGTCTGTATACAAAAGATAACATATGCGATATACATTCACAAACTGTTCATCCTAAATCTACAACATGTGTTGCAATGATAAAAGAATTGAAAACTAAATAGATAATCATATGCCATATAGGCTTAGGGTGTGTTTGATTGGACGGACTGGAAAAGAGGGGATTAGAATCCATCGGACTTGAGTCCTGGGACTGTGAATCCCCCGGACTATTTGGTCGGATTGGATATGTATCCTGTGTTTGTTTTTTCATGGGATTAAATGTCTGGATAGGACTATTTTCAGTGAATCCAACGTTTGGTTGGACGGACTGGATAGGATAAATGAACAAAAGACTATTTTACTATTTTTCAATTGTTTACTAAGTAATAGCAATATTAAACATATCTTTAATATTTTAATTATTTTTAGCTAGATTAAATAAAAATTTATTTTATTTTATCTTTTACACAATTAAATAAATTTATTTTTTTTAAAATAAAATAAATAAATAAATAACAAGGGTAAAATTTGATTACTGTGTAACCATTACTAAAGGGTAAAATTTGATTACTGTGTA